CGGGAGCTGGAGCTGAGGCAGAAGCAGGAGCTGCAGCGGGTGGAGGCGGAGGCGCGGGCCCGGGCGCGGGCGGAGCGGGAGAACGCGGACATCGCCCGCGAGCAGATCCGCCTGCGCGCCGCCGAGCACCGCCAGACCGTCCTGGAGTCCCTCAGGTGCTGCAGGGGGCTGGGCTGCCCTGCTGCCCGGCCACCTCCCTCCCCACACACAGGAAACCTGGCCCCTTCTTCCCCTGAGCTCTGCGGGGCGTCAGAAATCGGCTTGTGCAGCCTGTACCCCGCAGAGTAGGAGCTGGATTACAGAACGCTACCTTGGCATCTGGATGTCATAGAATCATAGAACCAGACTAGGCACAGAGCTGTGAATCCTGTGCAGTTTTTCTCAAGTCTTATTCACTAGGGTTGAGGCTCAACCACTGTGAAAACTCTGAGTTCTTTCAGTTTCTGAATGTACTCCATAAAAGCATCAGGCAGCCTGTCCCCATAGAAATGGGCATTTAGGCTTGTCAGTGATTCATTTTAGGTCCTTTGGGATTTTTGAATGAAAAATCTTTAGGGTCAGATACCTTTTATTACAGTTCAGCACCAATAATGTATTAAAGAAACTGATAATATCTTAATACCAGTGTTTTTCTGTAATTAATCCTAGATCAGGTGTAGACATCAGATGATTATAAATGTATTTCCTTGACTTGTTCATGCCCAGTTCCAAGGTGAGCCCTCAATTTGTTTTGTGCAGTTCTGAAGAAGATCATTGTGAGGTTGTTTTGTAAATTGTTCCTACTCAGTCTCTGAAATCCCTTTTCCTTCTGCTTGCCTTGCTCTTTGCTTACCACAGGACAGCTGGGATGCTCTTTGGGGAAGGATTCCGTGCTTTTGTGACAGACTGGGATAAAGTTACAGCCACGGTAAGGTGGTGACATATCAGTAACTTCTAGAAAAGTAAATGTGTTTAACTCCTTTCTCTGATACATTTATAAACTGTAAACCCTGGTGGAAATTTGCTGCTCACTTGGTGCTCTCTGCAGTCCTCATTTAAGGAGATACTGTGCTTCAGATTTTTATCAAATTCATTCTCATCTTCTTTGTACAGATAACTCATTTCTCACTGGTCACAAAAGTTCTGGCTTTGACTGATCAACAGCATAGAATTGTCTTGTTCCTGGAGGCACCATCACCTTTCCAAAGAGGTTTCCTAAAATTTTCCCAGCTATTATCAATGGTAGATGCAGATTCTGTGGAAAAAAAGTAGATGAGTCTTCACAGATTGTGGTGGGGTTCTTTCACAGATTGTTCTAGAATTTGTTGTCCTAGGTATGCAGGTGAGTAGGGGTTTTATCTGATAGGTAGAGATAACTGCAGGTTTTTCTTTGAGATCTTGAATGCCATTTTTGGGTTTGACTAGGCTCTGAGCTGACCAGTTTTCATTCAGTGTTTTAGTGGTTGATGTTCATTGTACTCTCCTGATGCATGAACATCTCTAACTGCTTATAGGTGATCAGAGCATTATGAAATGCTTGATGCTGCTCTCACAGGACTTCTTTACCTGTGGTGGGTTTTGGGAACAGGGATCCCTGTTTCTCCAAGTCCCTGATGTCTTTTGTATGTTTGCAGCTAAACTACAAACTGGAAATGTGTTTTTAGGAACATTAGGGAAAGTATATTGGAGATGTGTCAAAGTTGATCTTGCAGGCACTGGATGGGTTTGTTCCCCTTAAACCACTGGCTTCAAAAATTTTTTGATCATGTACCCCTCACATTAAAAATTTGAGAACACTCCCCCAGAAAACAGTAAGAGATGCATCAGGAAAGTTTGTTTTGTTTTATTTTTAAGTTATAATATGTGTTTTAAGGCTACAGAGAGGAATCCTTCAGTAATCCCCTTGTGCATGCATTCTGTCACTGAGCTGCAATTCCTTCCCACCAAGGCAGCTGCCAAGAACTTGCCTGCTGCTCTGGGCCCAGGTGGGTGGGGGACTGTCAGCTCTGTGATCAGGGAGCCTGGGGGCACCATTTTCATCTAGAAAGGAGCACAATAGTCTTCTGGAACTTCAGGAGATGAACTAAACATGCTTTGCTGCTTTCCCCACAACATTACATCTAATTTTGAAGTAGCCTAGAGACCACATAGAGAACTGTTATGTGTGCTAAGTAAGTTGATTAAAAGCTGGACCAACATCTTGTCACAGGACCAAAGAGCATGGCAGTGGCTTCTTATAGACATAAAGCTGTTTCTCAGTGTACTACTTAGAACAAAACTTTGCAGTGGAAATATATTTTTGGTAGCATGGCTTGCTAAAATGGACATTTTGCTTTAAATCACTCACCAATATCTGCTCCACCCTCTGGGTTTATACACACAGGCTGATACAAAAGACACTTTGCCTGAGTGCCCTGGGGAGAACAAGATGTGCTTTTAGTGGATCCTTTTGTCATCTGTAGGCTGTACCTGGCATGCAGTATTCAGAGCCTTTAGTGCTTGGGGCTTTTAACTGCATATTCTTTTGACCCAGATACCAGTTTCCTGCCTGATGGTCATTTTTGCTTCTGATAAGTTCTTGTCTTGTGAATTTGGGACATTTAGTTTGAAAAAAAAAAAAAGTATATTTTTGGAAAGGATATAACACAGCTGGAACTCCTATTTTGTGTTGCTTTGAAAAAGGACTGTAAGGTAACAATTAGCCAGTTATTTTGGGGTTCCTCTAAATTAGCCCTGGATTTTCAGCATTTCCTGGCTGCTGTAAAGGCTGCTCTTTTTCTGCTGTTTCCTATCCAAGCAGAACCCTAAGGTTCTGCTCAAAGATTTTTGGGGTTGTTGGGGTTTTATTTTAGTGGAATTCACTTTGCTTATCAGAGATTTGCTAGAGACTTCATGGTAATCAGTCATCAGACTGATTTGTGGGGTTGGCATAGTAATTGGGTTCTTCTGCAGACGTCAGGGTTGAGTAATTTTCCTGTTTTGATACATAGCTGTCAGTCTTCAAGCTGGATTTCTCTGTGCCTTGTAACGTGAACGTCAGCAGAGTCCTAAACCCTGAGATGCATCAGCTCCATCCAGGCAGAGACAAGCATCAGCCTGCAGCTTTGGGTGGTGCTGGGGGATGCTGAAGCAGATGGTGTGAGATGGTTTGTCATGGGACTTTAAAAACCTCGTGTTTAAAGGCAGGGTGCTCAAAAAGTGGAGTTTCTTGTGTTCTGAAAGTGCCTGTGAGCTGAGATGCATCAAGTGTGGAAGGCATTGAACTGTTTGCATCATGGATTCACAGTTCTGAACTCTTCATGGTTCTATCCAAAGCAAAGATGATGTCACACATGGAAGCAGAGTGAAGCTGAACAGATGGTGTCTCAATGGTTTACTGAGTGGTGCCACCCTTGTTGTCCTTGAGGCTTTTGACCTTGTTCTGCAGTTGTGGTGAAAGTCTGCTTGCTTCAGAAGCAGTTGCTGCAGCTTGCTCATTTGTCTGGGCTCACTCTCCTGTGGGGGACTGGTGTCCAGCTGTGAGCTGAACACAACCAATGACTTGCACTCAGAGCTGTGTGGAACAGTTTGGCCTCTTACCAAACACCTCTCAGCTTAAAATTAATGCCCCTTGTTCCTTTGTGCTTTTAGGTGAACAGGACTTTTGGTAAACTGACAGATGGACCTGGAGGCTAGTGGTTGTGCACCTTCAGTGGAGTTTTGTAGGAGTTATCAGTGCTCTCAGTCCCTGAGAGTTAAGGAAATGATCCTGTACATGCTAAAGATTTCAGTGAAGCCTTGCTTTCAAATCCTGTCCTGAGATGTTATTCTTGGCAACCTCCTGGAGTGTCTTGAGCGTTGTCAGCACAGCTCCTTGTCTGCTCTGACAGCTCACTGTGGTGGAAAAAGCTGCCTGCAGGGCTTCTGGTTTGGTAGGAGCCAACACAGAGCTGAACTGAGCTGCAGCCATAACCACAGGGGCTTCTACCTGAGGTGTGCAGCAAACCTGGTGGCTCTTGTCTCCACCCCTGCTCTACTTAGATAAGAGTCTGAAAAGCCCCACACGTTTTGAGCAGGGAGTACCTGTGCCTGGATGTGTGACTGCTTGCATTACCTCTGCTTCCTTTCACAGCAGGTGCAAGGGACAGGCCCTGTGAATAGGGAGTGTGAGACCTTGGCTGTCTGACCAGGGATAAAACATCTTACCAAAAATAAACCCCTGTTGGTCAGCATTTGTCCTGAATCTTAATTCCCCACCACAGGCCGTGCTGCACACCAGAGCATTGCCTTGCCAAGTGTTTTACCCAATGCTTGTCCCTTGTCTTTGCAGGTGGCAGGCCTGACCCTGCTGGCATTGGGAGTTTACTCTGCCAAGAATGCCACGGCCGTGGCAGGGAGGTACATAGAGGCAAGGCTGGGGAAACCTTCCCTGGTGAGGGAAACCTCACGTATCACCCTGCTGGAGGCTCTGAAGCATCCTATCCAGGTAGGGTTTGGCTTTGAGTCCTGTCCTGCCCTCAGCCACGAGGATACAGAAATCCTTTTGCAGCTCTTTGTGGGGCAGGGAGCTGTGTGTGGGTCTGTGCATAAGCATGCTGTTAGAGGTAGCAGAGCTGGGCTGAGCTTGCTGCCTTTTCCTGTGACCTTTTTGTCCAGGTGAGTTGTCAGAACTGTGATGTCTGTGTCAGTGATGGAATTTGTCCTCTCTAGGTTGGTAAACGTCTTACCAGCAAGGCTCAGGATGCCCTTGAAGGAGTTGTTCTCAGTGTGAGTACTCTTTATTTTGCTGCCTTGGTCTGTGAAGGATGACTTTGGAATCCAAATAAAAACAGCTCTTGCCTTACACTTGCTTCACGAGCTGAAATTCCAGTAGTTCTGGAGACATAGCACCCTTGGGGCACTGAGACCATAAATAAGCTCCTGTGTTCAGTGTTAACCTTTCTTCCTCTGTGCAAAGCAGCTGGAAGTCTTGGTTCAGGCCTTTTTCTGCTGCAGTTTTTCTCTGCAGTCAGTGTGTTAATACACAGAGTTCCACTTGTCTCATCTGATCTGTTAAGGATTGCTGAACCCAGATCTCTGGGTAGGCCAGGAAGCCAAAGCAACATGAGCATTTGCCCATCTTGGGAATGAATCTTAACTTAATTAGGGCTGCTTCTCTGTGTTTGCCGCTGAATTTGATTCCTGGATCTCAGGCAAATTTAAGTACTTAATGAAGCTGCTGAGAGAAAATGCTCCTGCAGGAACAACTTTCTCCCATTATCTCTACAAATACAGTAATAAATATGACCATGAATGTTTATGATTTATAGGAAAGAATGAATACTGCAAAGAGTTGGTTATGTTTTCACATATCCCTCCCCAGGCATCCAGTAGGAAGTGAGTATTTAGGTGTTAGCAGTTTTTAGACAGGGTCCTGCACTGCTGCTTTTTCCTGTAAAAGAATTGTAGCCAAGTGGGCAGAACTCTAAACTGGGTAAATCTGACACAGAAGGGGGAATGACCCTGGCCTGAAGCAATAAACTGCTGAAGTTTAGTCTTAAAAGCTTGAGACTGTAGGAGTGCTGCCTACTTCTTGCTGGTACTGATCTGTGAAGCTGTTAGATGCAGGTCTCTTGGCACTTTCTGTTCCTTAAGTTTAACCCTTTTCTTTCAGCCACAGTTAGAAGCACGTGTGAGAGACATTGCCATAGCAACAAGAAATACAAAAAAGAACAAAAGCCTTTACAGGAATATTCTGATGTATGGTCCCCCAGGCACTGGGAAGACACTCTTTGCCAAGGTAAAACCCTGCCAGGATTCCAACAGCCTGCAGGGTGCTTGGAGAACTTGGTCTGAGCACCCTCCCTAGTCTGAAATCTGTTGCTGTGGTATTGCATAAGCATTGTGTTCCTGTGTCTCTGCTGGGAGGGGAGGAAAGGGCATCAGACTGCCTCAGCTCTAAATTAGCCCAGTCCCTTGGATCCTAGAGCTCTGTGTAGGCAGAGGAGCCTTTCCATCTGGCAGAGGCCCTTGGCAGCTGGGACTTGTGCAGCCACCACATCAGCCCCTGCTCGTTTCCACCTCCCTTCATTTTCTGCCCTTGTCTGAGCAGAGTCTCTCCTGCTGTCACTTGCTCATCCCAGAGAAGAGATAGGTATGGCTTCCCTGTGCACGTGTGCTACCAGAGTGGCTTTTGTATGGATTTGAGTCAGGATGTGATGTTTGACTTGCTCTTTAGTGCTCATCCACTAGATCTGAGGTCCCAGGTACTAGTTTAACAGTGGCAGATTTGACCTGCTGACTCAAGTAGAAATTTTTGTTTGTTTTTCTGTATAAAATCCATATCTTGATAGTTTTTTGCTGCCTGCTCTGACAGTATGCCACCTAGCTTGGATTTTTAAACCCAACAAAGAGAGACAAGTCTAGGAAATGGCAACAGCAGTCTAAGGAGAAGAAGGGAAAAGTGACAAATCACTGACTAAAGAAGTGTTCCCTCTAGGAGCATACTTCCTCTCTGCCAATAAGCATGCTGAGGGAACTAAACTGCTTTAATTTCCCTCTTCATCTTCTGTGGTCCTGCACTAAAAGAGAGTTCTTAACTCACTGTTTCTTGTTTCCTGCCAGAAATTAGCTGTGCACTCAGGCATGGACTATGCCATCATGACTGGTGGCGACGTTGCCCCTATGGGGCGTGAGGGAGTTACTGCCATGCATAAGCTCTTTGACTGGGCAAACACCAGTAGGAGAGGGTAAGTAGAGGTTCCTCTGAATTGGGTTTCTTACTCCAAGAAACTCACTGCAATGCTGCAGTTGAGTTTTCTCTTTGTTACTGATTTTGCACAGCTGAGGTAACACTGACTGGGTGTAACGTCTCCTGAAGATTGCCTAAAATGGGTGAATTCTTGCTGCTTAGTAATATTTAAAAGACTGAAAGTTTTTGCTCTTCTGCTCCCTCAGACCCTTCTTGTTTACTTCATCTTTTCCATAGCTTGACTCTCTGCTGAGCTCACCAGGCAGGTAGACTGATACTGCCCACTTGAAGGCTGGGACACATTTCTTAGTTTTCTGGCAGTAGTTAGAAGAGTTAGCACCAGTGGAGGTGCAACCAGGTGTTTACATCCTCTGGATATGATGTCCCCTGTTATTGCTCAGATTTTAGACTCTGATAGTCTTTGGATCCAGCTTCTTTTTTACAGTTGAGCCTTGAGCAGAAGCAGGGAATTGCCAGGAGGAAAGGAGGGAGACAGAAGCTAAAGGCATTGGTGGTGGATAGGTGTAAAAGTCACAAGCTGCTGTGCTTTTTCAGCCACCTTTCAAAAGCAAAATTGTATCTGCATGTTGAGGCTAAATCTTGACTCTGATTTCCTAAGAGTGTGTTGGTAATTTGTCTGTGCAAATTATCACTAGTGTAAGTGGATTCTTGCAGTCCAGAGGTAGCTGGGAAGTTGCTTGTCCAGCCAGGATATTAATATTCAGTAGAGAACTTGCAGTGGGTGTCACTTTGGGTTTTTGTGCTATTTTGATCACAGGTCTTCTGGAAATGTGGCTGCCCAGTGATTTATGTGTTCTCTGATTGCTTTAGATGGACATTATCTTGCAGTGTCTGTTTTAATCCTTGCTGCATTCATCATCTAAATGTTTCTATTTTCCCTTTAAAAAATAAAACAGACCCATGCAAAGTGTCCTAAGGATTTAAACTCTTTAGGCTTCTTCTAGCCTGAGGAACTATAGAAGGAAAGGGGTAAGAAATTAAGTGAGTTTAGGAAGAAAAAATTGGAAGAGATATGAGAATACTCAACTGGATGGAGACTACTGGATGCTCCCACTAAAGAATTATCTTTCACAGCACTGCCTGGGTCTGAATTTGTTCTCTGTCCTGATAAAAACTTCTGTGCATTAGAACTTCATACACTTCAGATATTCAGCTTATGAAAGTCCTGATCAAAGGTTACACCTGTCCATGTACATCAATATGCTGTGTGCCAGTAACATTGAAGTCTTTAAGCAGATTTATTCTGGCTATCAAACAATGTTAGCTGTTAGTGCTGTGTTGCCTTTATTACCTGAAGCTGTTGTGGTAAAGGCAATTCTTTGCAGAGACTGTAGCTGAGAATATTTTCAGAAAAGCTGCAGTTGAGTAAAAGATGTTAATAGGCCCTGAAATCCCTTGAAAGAAAGCTGGTTTTGAAGCTAGGCAAGAAGGTAATACAAGCTGTGACAGCTTTATGAGCAGCTTGGTTCTGTTATTGATAAACATCTCTATATACTTTGTCTCTTGGGAAAAGCACTACCCTTGGGTTATAAGTGAATTTATTTTGGTGAATTATTCATTGACTTTATTAATTCACTTCTCCACAGGTAGTGAAACCATTATGTTATTGCTAGTGTGGTTTGGAAAGGAAAAAACCCCACAAAATAACAAAGCAAGTTGCAGAGGAGGACTCTGGTTTGAGGTTTTTAGAATGGCATAAGGAAGAAAAATGGCAGGAAGATGCCACTGTCAAGATTTCTTGTATGCTTGTGTGCCTGTCTTGTACCCTTGCACACATTTCTCTAAATAAGAGGGAAGGGTAAAATGAGGACTCTCACAGGTCTTAATTTCAAAGATCTACTCCAGCTTGACTGTGACATACCAGCCCTGCTTGATGCAAGCTTTGAACCATGCCTGTGAAAACTCCTGTCTGCACTTAAGAATCTGGAGGAGGTTAAGGTTGTGTGCCCCAGGACTGGTTCTGAAGAGCAGCAACCAAAACTCCAGAGGTCTGGAGTCAGATTTATGGCCTCAGGTGCCTTAAGCTGATACCTCTTTAACTGTTGGGATGGGCCAAGCACACAGAATGGAAAATCAGCTGTACCTTAGCTGAGAAATGTTGCCTTAAGGAATGAATTTGGTTGTGTAATCCTTCAGGCTTACAGCTGGTCACAGTTATGGGTACCTGGTAGTGGGACAGGAGAATCCTTGAGCTGTTTGAGCCTCACTTACCTGTCTCCTGTTACTGTGTAGTGCTTTCCTTTTGCAGCCTCCTGCTATTTGTGGATGAAGCAGATGCATTTCTGAGGAAGAGGGCAACAGTAAGTACTTTCTGTCTTATGTTTTACCTGTGCATGCTGCAGTTAGTCAGCCAACAGCCTTCTTGTTTAACCTGATGAACCAGCTTCAGCAGGCAGGTGCCTTAGGACTCACCTCAGGAACTGATGCAGAGATAAGAACTCAGCATCTTGCAACTGAATGGAGTGAGCTTCTCAAGACTGTCTTGAGTCCCTCCCTGCAAAAGATGGGTGGCACAAGCCTTTTTGGAGCTTTTGCAGGTGACTGGGCAGTAGGGAAGAAAGAGGCATGATGACAAGAGGTCCTTCACTCTGCAGAGCTGGTACCCTGCAGGGTTTGGGTTTTGTCTCACCAGATATTTGTCTTGGGAGGTTTAAATGACAAAACTGCTTTTCACTACTGACAAAGCTACACTAGCATCTTCCCCCCTACAAATGATTTGTGTTTTCAAAGTCAGTCACAATACTGTACATTGAATCTGAACCTGCTGCTTGAGCCCCAGCAGTATTTGAAGAGCTATACCTGGAAGATTACTTGGAATATGTGAGTGCTTTGCTGTGCTTTATTTTCCTCTAAGTTTCTTATTGGACTTCCCAGCTGCAATAACCTTCAGCAGGGAAAGCCTCCTGGGCCAGTGCTTAGAGCCTCAGGTCTGAGATCAAGAGAATCACTGACTGACTGTCTGCTGGCAGCTTTAATTCCTATCCTTATTCCTGGGTATATAAATTAATCCTTTTCTCCCAAGGTACTGCAGGGCTTTGGATTCTGCTGTAATGCAAATGTTTGACAGTAACAGAACTCACTTTGTCAATAATGCTGTGTAAAGCTGTGGCCTGTCTAAGGTCCCCAAGCAGTTCATCTTCCCCTGGATTTCATCTTTGCAGGAGAAAATCAGTGAAGATCTCAGAGCAACTTTAAATGCATTCCTGCACTTAGAACAGGGCAGCACAGCAACAAGTAAGTGTCCTCTTCCAGCCCTTGCAGCAGCTGATACTCCCCTGAATTGGGGAGAGTCTGTAAAGGGTCTGTGGTGTGCAAATGAAAGTTGTAAACATGATCTTTGCTACTAAGGACTTGAAAAAATCTGCACAGAATATCCCCTTTTCAGTTCATATAGTGAATGTACCTTGCTCCTGCTTTCCTCTTTTCCTGGGACCTGGAAGTCAGGACTCAGAAGGGCTGTACACAGGGTAGAGATGTAGTAGCCATGGAGGAGGTCATGGTTTCAGGACAGCAGCAGGGCATTTTCTGTCCCTGGGGCCTCTCTTGACTGAACTTGCTAAAACCAATGCAGCTCTAACTGATAGCTGATTGTATGTAGTGTCTCTGTACCCTCCTCTCTCACAGTGAGGTGCCTTGGAAGCTGTGCCTTTCCAAAATGACTGCTAGGAAGTGAGGTGTTGAGCCTGCCAGAACCTTACAAGATCCTTTCTTTTCTCTCTGGAGGATAGCAAGCCTCTTCTGAAATGATAGAGTTGCTCTATAAATGCTGAGTATAATTATTATTATTAAATGATGTTGTACTTGCTGTTTGCAAGATTAAATATAATGAATATTTATTGGCAAAATACATGTTCTGCAGGACCCAGGGCAAGTGGTGCTTAGGATAGGAATAAAATTTTCCAAGGTGAAAACTTGTAGATCCCCTGAGCTCCTAGGTGATACCCAGAACTGTCTTTTGCCCTGCACCTGCAGAGATCATGAAGATGTTTAGATGGATCTGGAGAACTTTTAAGAATAATAATGTGTGCATTGTAGACATTTCCTAGAAAAAGGGGGAACTAATCCTTCTTGGACTTGCAAGGTCTAATTGCTGTGGATGTGGCAGAGTTCTGAGCAGATTTTTGGTTTGTTTTTTTTTAGATCTAGCAGGTTTTGAGCAGATTTATAACTGCTCTGCAAGGCAGTGCCTGGTAGGGCTGGTGAGGGGACAGCTCCTTCCCCTGATGCTGGATTGCCTCAGCAGAGCTCTGGGGGTGCTGGTGGGTGCAATGCCTCCACTCAGAACAGCTGAGCTCTCATTTTGTCAGATGTTGAATTCAACCCTAATTTAACTGTGAGCCATTCTAGGAGACTGAACACGTCCTGGTGATTCATGCACTGCTTTTTACTTCTCAACAGCCTTACTGCTGCTGTGGGCAAGGAGTCCTGCAGGCAAGAATGGGAGTTCACTTGACTAAGCCTAATAGTGCATGTAAATCTAGTGAGACCCTGAGGAGAACTTTTACTTTACCAGTGAATTGTCACCAACGTAACTAAGTACTGTGAATTGCTGACTTGAACTTTGTCCATCTTCTTGCTGGATAGCTAACTGTGCCTGCATCTTTTCCTCACTTTTTATCATTTTCAGGACTAAGTAAGGCCTGGATATCAGGTTGCATGTCAAGCTTTTATCCAAGCTGTTTCTCCAGGGGTTTGGGAGAAGTCCTTGTTGGTAGAAAAGGAGCAGTTTTGGTGCATATGTGGCTCTTGGGCTGGGAAAATTATTGTCAGAAATGACAGCACAGAACACAGCCCCCTGCAGACCAGGATTTCAATAGACTGCAAGAATGTCAATATTCCAATAGCTGTGGTTAAAAGCCCATTTTGAATTTTAAAGCACTATTAAGCTGGCAACATCAATTAAAGCATTAAAGTAGAATTGGCATGGGGAAGAGGCATCATTAGAAAGCAGAAGACTGACTTTCTGGCTTCAAAATGCAGCAGGAGAGAGCAGGGCCTGGAAGCTGGCACATCTGTGCCATGGGGCAGAGCTTGGTGAAACAAACCTCCTTTGGGCACCTCTCCTTCTGCACACGTTAGGCTTGGATGCAGGAATGTGTTTTCAGGCTTGCCTGAAGGAAACAAGTCAAGTCTTGCCAGCTGCTGAGGAGTGACCTTCCCTGACACAGGGAAGTGGCACACTGCCCTTGTCCTTAGGGCAGGAGGAGCCTGTTCAGGGCTCTGCAGCTCGTTGAGCTGGCTGAGGTTTCAGCAGTGCTGTTGGCTCCCAGTTTGGCACAGGGCAGGATTAGTGCAGCCTCTCATCATTCTGGGGTGCTGTGTGGTGAGCAGCATGAAGTCGGGTCCCCAAACTGGGATTCAAGCTGGAGATCCAGAAGTGCCAGAGAACATCTCTCCATGTTGTCCAGCCTTGTTCTGAGGTGTCAGACTTAGAGGTGTCTGGGAGGTTGTCCTCTGGCTAAAGGTTTGTGGTACCCCTAACTCGAGGGAGGTGGTGGGTACAGTGCTAAATGAGGCTTCTGTGGCAAGGACAGACTGGGGAAGGGTGATGTTGGAAGGTCAAGTACCCAACTAAACACATTTCAATTTTAAATAGCTTAAACTGCTCTGTGTTTTTGTATTTCACTTGAGATGCTGTTTCTAACAAACCCTCAGACACGCCAGGTCATCAGATGTCTTTGATGCTGGCCGTGGCTGTTCTCGGTGTTCAGACTGGTTCATTGATTTTTTATTTTTATGGATTTTCTTTTTCAGTCTTTCCTCTCACGTTTCATACTTTGCAGGTTTATGCTTGTTTTAGCAAGCAACCAGCCCGAGCAGTTTGACTGGGCCATCAATGACAGGATAGATGAGATGGTGAACTTTGACCTGCCCCAGCTGGAGGAGCGGGAGCGGCTCGTGAGGATGTACTTCGATAGGCACGTCCTGAAGCCAGCCACAGAGGGCAAACAGTGAGTGTCCTGGAGGGCATCCCACACTGGGGATCCTCTTTTATTGCTTTTCTTCATCTCCTCTGCATATTCTGTCACACTACCTAGAAACCCACTTTAAACAAGTGCTACAGGTAAGAGCTGGAGATGCCTCTTGCTGTCCTGTTACCTGATGAGATGCCAGCCTAGAATTTCCTGCCATGGGTTGTTGTGCCCTTAAAATTTAGGAGACCATTTACTGGACTGAAGGCAATAGTGGAAGTAGGAACGCTGTTGGAACTCCTATTCAAGCACTTGCCTTTGCTTGGTTGAACAGAGGCAAATTGGACACAGTGACTCCTTTCCTTGTGCTGGGCAGTCGAGCACTTTTCTGGTCTTAATCCAGGTGTACGTGGTTCTCTGTGCCACAAAATCAGGCTCCCTGGGCCCAGGAGAACAACTTCTGTGCTCAGCACGGATCATTCTACAGATTGATCCAATCTGATCTTTGATTTCCTTGTAAGCTGCTCTTTACAAAGCCTTCCTCTGACTCCCTCACACTCCTCTCCTGTGGCTGCATGTAAACTAACCCTGGCACTTCTGCTTTCTAGGCGCTTGAAGCTGGCCCAGTTTGACTATGGGAAGAAGTGCTCAGAGATTGCCAGGCTGACAGAGGGCATGTCTGGCCGAGAGATCTCTCAGCTTGCTGTGGCCTGGCAGGTAAGCAGGGCTTTTATCATGGGGCTTCTTGGTTCTTTTCACCTTTCTGGAAGTTTTGAGGGTTTGATGTTGGAGTCTCAGATCTTGCCTCACTTTGGAGTTTATGTCCATGCAGGAGTACTGGACTGCTGCTGGCTCTGGGAGGGTGTCAGAACATCTTCTAAATCAGAACAGTTTTTTGTAATTACCAATGGGAAAATGATTTTTGTGGGCCTCTGATTTTGAAACCCAGGATAAAGACCTAGGATGTTTGTCTTAAAGTGAGTGACAGGGATGTGGGAGAGAAAGGAGACCTCAGTCACAGAACTTCTCCACAGTTAGAAGAGAACTCTTACCCATGCATGTAAAAGGCTTTGTTACAAAGCATTTCCTGCAATAAAAAGCTGTGATAAATGATCCTTTGCTTTTTATCACCTCTTATCTCTAGCTTGTCATTACTCCCTGGGAGTGACCTCAGCTTTTAGCATTTATCCTTTAAGTGATCTTGAAAGAAGGGAAAGGTGGGGCTGACTAATTCCTTGGTGCTGTTGCTCTGGTCACTTTTTAAAATGTACCTCATAGCACCAAGAACTACTAACAGGCTTCTATGTAAAATTGCAGCAGGAGGTTGTGTTCTTCTCTGCTGTCATAAAGGGCTTTAAAAAAAAGCAAGAGATGGGAAAGGATGGGCAAAAAGAGATAATTTTTTATGTAGAAGCTGCAAGAAGCTTCATCTCTGTCAAAATCAAAGTTGTTGGTGTTTTAGAACAAGGGACTTAATATCTTATCCCTTGTTAATCAAGAAAGGAAGTGTGATGTGGCATGAGTCAGTGTTAAAATAGCTCAGGCTTTTTGCAGCTAGTGGCTAGACACATGGAATTCTTTCCCCAGGAGATGGCTGGGTGGATACAGTCCACAAGTGGGTCTGTGAAGGCATCCAAAAAGGATTTCTGTGTTGGACACTGCCCTGGGAGCTGCCTGCCAGAGCTGTTGGTCCTAAGTGCTACCACAGGGTTCATGGTCAGTCCCTGGATGGAGGAATTTGGAGCTGTAACTTGGCTGGAGCTTCACAGGAGGCTGCATCTGTGCCATGTTCAGCCCCCTGACTTTCAGCTGTGGCAAGGCATGTGTACAACTGCCTTTGTTTGCCTGGGTGAGGTGCCAGGGGGGAGGCACTTCAGCCTCTCTGTAAGCAGGTGTTTGAGGAACTCAGCACAAGTTGATCCCTTGATGGGTGTTGGTGTTTTGGGGCCTGGCTCAGCACTACCAGATCAGTTGTTACTGGTGGGTGGCCCTGTAGCTGATCCAGTGCTCTCTTCTGCCAAGGAAGAGTTAGGGCTGGAGTTTGAGGAGCCTTTGTGGCAGACTTGGTCTTGCCTGGTGTTCCTGCCTGTGTGCTGTCCTTTCCATGGCACTGGTGTGTGTCTTTGTGGGGCTGTGCCATGAACTGGGACAGGGAGCTGATCAGAATTAAAAATAGCTTGGCAGGAGGAGGTAACTGCAGAGCTGCACCCTTGTCCTGGCACACCTGAGGGGGTGGATCAGGGGCTACAAACCAGCATAACTGCCTCAAGAAGATGCTCCTCAGGCTTCCCTCAGCTGGATGCAATAGCTGTAACATCTCCCCTCTCTCCACCCAAAGCTTTGTGTCAAGCTACAAACACAGGCAGGAAGAGTTTGAGATGATGGACAAGCTGAGAAGGTGAAGGGCAGGAAGACCAAGAAAAGGGGAGACCAAGGTTTGTGTCCTAGCAGCCCCATTTCTGATCTTAGTGACACCTCACAGGGCTGGTGGACAGCAGATGTGGTGAGCCCAGTGCTCTCCAGAAGTCCTCAAAGGCCACTTCAGACAACTGTGGCTCAAGGTGTTTAAGTTTCCAACACTTTCATAGATAGGTTCATCACATCAGCTGCTGAAATGCAATATACCAAAGGTCTCTGTTTACTAAATAAATTCAAATGACCCATTCTGGGGCAGATTTTCTTTTCAGCTATTTTGCATAGTTCCCTGACATAACTTGGAGCTAATCCTCAGAGTGTCAGCTCAGTTGCAACATGCCTGTCACTTATTTCACCTTGGCTTTGTATATATGTTTTCTGAATTAACTTATTCCTCCCACAGTCACTTGCAGGGTTGCTGTCTGTGTGTGTACACACCTCTTGGGACAAACCTTCAGCCAGTGTCTGGGCAACAAACACAAATGCAGAGGGAGCAGAGTGGCAGGTTTAAGCTGTTTATCCTGGACTTGATGGAGTTTTTAGACACCAGGGTCCTCAGCAGCTCTGCTTAGCTTGCCTGGAGTCACCTCTTATGGCCAGAGTTAAACTTTGGGGATGGTCTGGGGGAAGGTGAAGTTCTGAAGCAGTAGGAGGTGAAGCTGTCAGAGGTGTTGGCTCTCACCAAGAGTAACCTGCACTCTGCTGTGCCAGGGCCTCAGGGGCATTGAGAATCATAGAATCATATTTCCCATGAAGGTGTTTCTGGAGAGCTCTGCCAGTGCTGCCCTCACAAAAACATCTCAGTTAAACCAGAAGCCTGAGCAAGAGCTGCAGCTTTCATAGGCCTAATTCCACTGTAAGCTGGGTTTCAAATTGATTGGCTGCCACTTGCATGAAGTTCTGGTTCACTGTTGGTTCAGTCTGTCTCAATTTCTCCTGCATTTACCAAAGAGAAAAGCTAAGATGCAGGAAAGCAGAGGGTGTAACCTCCAGCACTGGGAAAAATATTGCTGTCTGGCACAGCTAATAGTCTGTGTGATAGAAATCCATTTTAATCTCTCCTGCAGGAGACTGAGCATTCCCTTCTGTCCTGGTGCTTTTCCATTCCCCACAGCTAATCCTTTATGAGCATAGCCTGGATTAGATGCATTTACACACTTAAAAACTCCCTTTGGATCTGTTTAGAGTAAGGTGCAGACTTTCTAGTTCTGCACCCTGTACTTAAAAACCCATTAATATGCTTGAGATAAAATGTCAAAATGCAACCTCTCACTATTCCAAGCCAAAAATCTCAGGAAAAATTGTTTTGGCAACACTTCAGGAGGATTCCCAAGAGTTTTATGTCTTGGTGTTGATGGTAGAGGTGAGCCTCCTGTCTTTTCCTTACCTTTTGTGCCACTGGCATAAATGCTCCCTGAACCTTGTGTATATTCTAAAAATAGAAAAGAATCATCTGCCTGACCAAGCTATGAGAAGAATTTAATGTTTCCATAGCAGGGTCTGAGCTAAAGGACATTATAAGTAAGTGGGGTTTGTTTTGTGGGCTGTGCTTGTGTTTTTGCTGTTTTGTGGGGGTTTTTTTTAGCAGGCTATTTTCATTATAAATGTGTGATTCAAAGGATTAGTTTGGCCAGGTTAAAATAAACTGTGGTTCTTGGCTGAAATGAAACATTAGGTCATCTAGGCTGGACTTGTCATCTGTGCTCCATCCCTTTACTTCCCCCCCCTCCAAATACTTTGCTTCCAGATTATTTCATAATTGGATTTGAGATGCAAAACATGAATAGTTGCACTGGAGAAAATGGGTTAAAATGTGTCCATGCAGAAGGCAGAGGTATGAATATAAATGAAGCTGGGAACCATTTGTGTGTGTGTGTGTGTGTGCAAGCTACTCCCAGAAGGGACAGCTGCTTCTCCCATTTGCTTTCTTGACAGCTAGGGCCTGAGGCTTTCTATAAATAGAAAGTCATTGAGAAAATCAACAGAGCGTGAACTGCACAGCTTTGCAGGAGTTTCCACCCTTGGATGGGTGCTCTGTGCAGTGCAGGGGGGAAGGGGAGACATCCTCTCCCTTCTGTGGAGGCACAGAGCCTGAGTCCAGGGCAGGACCTGCTCCAGCTGACACCACCAGAGCCTCCTGGCTGCAGGGCTGCACTGGCAGGAGGGGGCTGACTGGGGACTGGAAGCTAAAAGGAGCCATGTCCTACCAAAAAAAAATTAGAAAAGATACTTAATATTGCTTGGGGTGAGGCTGGGGGGATGCAGAGCCTGTCTGAACAGCAGACCCTTCAGCTGAACAGAGCCTGCCCACCACCCCCCTGACAGCACCAGGAGCAGGGCTGTGGCAGCAGCCAGGCTGGGAGCTGTGCTGCTCTCCTGGTGCCCCTGAGCCCAGGGAGCCCCCTGCCCTGGCACTGGGGGCAGGGCACAGGTGCCAGGTGAGGTCTCTCTTTGCAGATGTCTCTCACACTCCTGTGCCTGCAGCCAGTGTTTATGCCTGACTTGAAATAAGAGCATTACCCTGACTTGTCAGTCCTGCCTGAAGGGAGGATCACAGAGGTTTGGCACAGGGAAGGGTCTGTTCTGATGCTTCCTGCAGTAAAACCCAGCACCTGCCAGCTCTGTGGTTACACGTGGTGTGTGCAGTGAGACCTCTTGTGACCTCCCCACTTCCCCAAAAAGGGCTGGAAAGGAGGCCAGGGGAGGCTGGGCAGCAGCTTGGGTGAGCTTTGCTCATTTCTTGTGATATTTACTCCTCCTGCAGTGAGGTGGGAGTGAGCTAAGAGGTCACAGGGATCTTGAGGACTGCCCTGCAGACAGGAGGGTTGGGGTGTGACAGTCTGATGTGATAGCTCTGTGGAAGGAGGGAGGTGTGGACAGAAGTTGGGGCTGTTCAGGGCAGGCAGCGTGGATGTGAGAAGCTGGAGGGGTCCCATGCTGACCAGTGTCCAGCTCCCTCACCAGCATTGCTGAGCCAGGATCCATGGTGCTGAGCTGCTTGCAGGAGCACTGGCATAGGGAGCCACCAGATTTAGAAATCCATAGCCTGGAGCTGGTTTGTTACCTTGGAGATGGGGACAGCTGAGAGCATGAGCATCCCCCTCCCTGGGAGGGGACAGCTGCTGCTGCTGGCATCTGCAGGGAGCCCACACTGGAGTCCTGCCTGGCCTGTGGCTGCACAGCAGTGGCAGTCCTGCAGCTGAAGAGATGTGGCACATGCTCTCTTTCCCCTGTGCTGCCACTGGAAGTGCTGTGGGCTCCCTGGCAAGGTGTTGGTGGTTCCCAGCCCTCCCTGCAGGGAGCTGGTCAGCCCTGTGCTGCTATTGAAGCAGCAGCAGCAGCAAGTGCTTGTTTTCCAGGCAGAATTGGGGTGACAGGAGTAGGGGCATGAATGGAGGAAGGAGAAAAGGGAAGTATGAGTACAGGGTGGAGGGGGCACAGCACAGATGTGGTGCAGGGGAGATTCACAGCAGAATGTGTGAGGAGAGCAAGGCCAGTGCACCTTGGGCATCAGCTCACAGGTGCCACATTGCCCACAACCACCCTAGCATGGGTATTAGCTCTCCTGTGTGAGTGTTTAAAACCTTTTCTGTTGTCTCAGCTGGAGTCATTCAATCACCATATGACCTATTCCTCTTTACCTTCCTGGCTTCACACATGCAGCACTCCTAGAGCAGGAGAGGGAATCTGAACAAGCCCAGTGTGCCTGCAGCCTCACCACGCTGCCCGTGGGCAGTGCCACCCACCCCTGGCCTTGTCCCTGCCCGTGCCAGGATCCTGCCTGGCAGGCAATCCCCGGGCAGGGAGGCAGAGGTGCTGGTTGGTGGCTCAGAGCCCCAGCCCTGGTGTAGCTGTGCCCGTGTTTGGGCACTTGCTGTGAGTGTCCCCGGGGCAGGGACACCCTCCCGGCCGTGCCAGCTCCGGGCACCACCAGTGCTGTGAGACTGGGGCTGGGGTGGGGACAAACGTGTGTGGAGAAGGGAACGAAAGGGAGGGGTCGGTCTCAGAGCCTCGGGGACCCCAGGAACCACCCCCCCTAACCCAGGTCTCCTCTGCCCTCGCCCCCAGGCCGCAGCCTACGCGTCGGAGGACGGCGTGCTGACCGAGGCCATGCTGGACGCGCGGGTGGCAGACGCCGTGCGGCAGCACCGGCAGAAGAGGGAGTGGCTGAGGACGGAGGGGGCCGGAGCCACGGGCAGGAACCCGCCCCTGCCCTCCCCCAAGGACACACCCCTGTGAGCAGCCTGCCCGGGGACGGGGGGCCTGGGGGGAAGCTGCTCAGTGGAGTCCCGTGTGGGTGCCAGGAGGGGGCACAGCCTCAGTCTGCCTTCAGTGTCGTGGTTTGAAGTGCACCAGAAGACAGAATGGTTTAAATAGGGCAGAAGCAACTGGATTAAAGGAACCCCTTGCTGAAATACTGCTGGCTGTGTTAGTCTGTGTGGCCTGTCCTGCTCGAGACACTCAAACTCCACATCCTTTCCAGCCACTTGACCCTGTTCTGAAGTGTCCCAGTGACACGAGCCCAGGGCCTGTCCAAGCCTGCTCCTCGTGTGTTTAACTCTGTAAGCTTTGTGCTCCAGCAGAGATGTCTCTCATCCTTTTTTCACCCATCCTGCCCGTGCCATACCTCCTCGCTCACAGCTCTGCATGGCATCACTCCTTACTACCTTGTTGTCACCCCTCAGGGTAGATTCTGTGTCACAGAGGCATGTTTGGGGTGGTTCACAGCAGCGCCTGGTGGACTTGGAGTCAGCACTTAGGAGGAGCTACAGCTGGGCAGGGGGCTGGCCAGGGAGCATCAGGACCTCCCTTGTGATGGGGCTGCAGCAGCTGGTACCTGGCTTCTGCCTTTTGTCTTCCCTGTCCTTGGGTCTCCTGGAGGGAGGGTGGCTGTAGAGCCAGCCTGCAGCAGTGCACCCTGAGGAACCAAGCTCTGGAGCAGGACTCCTCAGTGCTGAACTGTTCCAAGCCTGAGAGCTTTCATGCCTCTTCAGCAGAGCATCACAGAACAGCTGCACGTGCTCCCTGGATCACAAAAATTTGTGGAGCAACTGGCCCTTCCTACAGGCTTGAAAGCACCACTCAGGCTGCTGGGAATCCCTTCGGACACTGCTGAGCTGCAGCAGGAACCTCTCCTGCCCAAGCCCTGGTGTCTGCTCTGACTGTAGAGCCCACAGCACTTTGTTTGCTTTCTCCAGCCAGGTCCTGGCTGCTGCAGCTGGGCTGGGAGCAGCCCTGGCTGCTCTTCCCCACCCACATCAGCTCCAGGAGGTGAGCAGGCAAGGCTCAGTAAACCTGTCTGGCACAGAGGTGTCCAGCACGGGCTGGGGAGCCCACGAGTCATCTGCTGCATTTCTGGAACAACTGAGAAATTTGCTGCTGTCAAGTCATGAACAGCAGCTTGTCTCCATCAGATGACATTTGTTCTGTCTGTGTTTGTAAGAGATGGGTCAGAGAAGGTCTTGATTTGTTTTCTTTCTGAGTTTGAACTGGATTTGAACTCTGTGCTCTGCCCCGAGTCCCCTTCTGTAGCTGCACGGCGAGCACGTTCCCCTGACCTAAATCTGTGCCCTTGAGTAGCGGGCTGAGATGTTCTCCTCCAACAGGAGCTGGCAGCAGTCTCTGCTGGGTCCATGTAGCTGCTGGCTCTCCCTGAGCTTTGAGGGATGCACCCTGACGAGGGCTGGGGAGAGGGGCAGGGCTGGTCACCAGGGCACTGGGGTAGTTCTTGGGCTGCCATCTCAAACTAGTTCTCTGGTGTTTTCCTCTGGATGCCAAGGGAGGGTTTGAAGCAGCATTTCAGGAGCTGCTCCCTGGTGAAGGACAGGAGTCCCACAGCAGCAGTGTGTGCCCCACTCAGCCTGGCTGCAGGGCCTGCTGCTGTGGGAAGGGAGGGCTGGCTCTGAGCTGAAGCTGCAGCCTTTGTGCTCTGCAGGACTCAGAGAAGCTTGGGGGCCTTTGTTTTATTTTCCCCCTCCCCTCCAGCCTAGCTGTAGCTGCCCTTTAGTCCCCTGATTTGCTCGAGGACTAGATTTTCCCCTTCCTATTTAGAGTTTGTTAAAATTCTATTTCTTTTCAGCCCCAAGAGATGGAAGAGCACTAAGCAGAGCCACAGGCTGTTAAAAACCCCTCGCTAATGAGCTACGTGAGGGAGCAGTCTGATAGTGTGTGATTAAAATCCAATTGTGACACACCTTCAATACCTTTCCCCTCTCTTCCATCCTCACCTCCAGGAGGCAGAGGAGGAGCTGGGGGAGGGGGAGGGTGCTCTGCCCTGTCCTGCTGCTGCCTGGCTGTGCTTTTGCTGACAGGGAGGGCTGGGGAGAGAGCCCTGTGAAAGGCACAGCAGTTGCTGTCTCAGCTCTTTCACAGGATTCCTCCTTCAGATTGCACCAGGGCCCTGTGTGGAAGCTGAGGGAGCAGAGTGCCCGTGGTGCAGCTCTGTGCCCTGCTCTGCTCTGCTCTGGGGATTGATGGCAGGTTCAGGAGGACAATCAGCTGGAGGCAGCCTCGTGTTGTGGTGGGGAGGACAGTGGGAAGCACAGTCTGACCCAGGGGTTCTCAGGGTTGCCCCAGTACAGAAGTGCTTCTCAGTGAGTTCTCAAGGGCTTTTAATGAGCACTCTTAATGACAGGTGCCACTCATCCTGACCTGAGCTTGGGCTTGGTCTGGGTGGGAAGGATGGGCTGTCCTGCAGGCACAGGGCTGAGACATGGCTCTGCTGTGACTCTGCCTGGCACTGCTTGTGGCCCAAGGGCAAATACTTTCCCCATCTTGTGCAGCCTGGAAGATGATGCTCTCTCTACTAAGTGAAGTTTGTTTTCTGTATTTTCCTTTAAAAGGTGGGAGAGAGGTAAGTAGAGTCATTTCTGTACTTACTCCTAGGAACTTCCTCCTAGGAACAGGGCTCTTTAATACACAGAACTTGTCCCATGTGTCTCGACTTCCATTCACCCTCAAAAATCCTCAGTCAACTGGTCAGAGCTCTGCAGGTCTGTGCTCTTCATGCTTTGTTAGCCACGTGTTGCAGGGGCTTGTGCAACCCTGGTGCCAGTTGAAATCCCAGGAGCAGAGAGCTTCAGGGCTTGCTTGGTTTCTTCTCTCTCTTCATGGTCTCCCTCCACAGCTCCTACCTGGTAGGTTGTGACAGCAGCTCTGCCTGAAGTTCATGGTGAGTTCTCACCCTCCTTTCCAGGGAAGCTTGTGGCTCTGGGAGAGCAGGCACATCCCCCAGTCCCCTGTTGATCCAATGCCTGGAACCTGCACTGTGGCTACAGCACCTTCCCAACTCCTGCTGACTGGTGATGTCTCTCTTCCCACCCCTGAAGAAGAGAGGGAAGTGGCACCTAAGCTGGGAAGGCCAGAGGAGCTGGTGCAGCAAAGCCAGAGGTGAGGCTGATTCAGGAGGGCTGAGGAGGTTTGGGTGCCACCCCTGCCAGGTAAGGAGGGGCAGGAGTGGTGTGGACAACTTTCTTTGCTTGGGTCCAGTCTTCCAGCTGAGTTGTTCTCGTCTCTTCCACTTGTACCAGCTGATTCAGTTGGTTTTCCCTGACTGTTTTGGGAGCTGCTGGGGTAGGTTCCAGCCAAATAGTCCCTTTGTTTGAGCTCCACATCCTTGTGTGGTGGGGATGCACAATTCTGCACCTGGTCAGCCCTGGCCCAGCCTGGAACAAGTGTAGCTGTCAGGCTTGAACGTGCTGCTTTTAACAGTGGGGACACTTCAGGTTCTATTATTTCCACAGGAAAGAAGGTTCTGCACCTGTTCTCTCACACTTCCACACTGCTCTTTGTTCACGTTGCATGCTGTGGGCTGTTGGAGTGATGGAACCAGCCCTCTCTGTGTGTCCCAGGTGCTGTTGCTACCAGCTCTCCAAGTCCTGCCTCTGAAAACAGCTTCCTCCTCCCTCCTCTTGCTCTGCACGTCACTCTGAGCCACCAGCTAGGTGATTTCATGCCCTGCTGCCTGCTGGAGAGCTGTGCCAGTTGCTCCCGCTGCTGCTGCTCGTGTGGAATGCAACAGGGAAGGAGAAAAAAGGCCACCTGTCATTGCTCAACTCCTGCCTCATCCAAGATTTCAGTGCAGGGCCTCTGTCCCCTCTGCCAGCCTCACCAGGAAGTTGGGTTTGCTGTCTGCTCCCAGGATGAATGATGCCCCTGTGGAGGTGGCACCCAGCTGGCTGTTTGTTCATGCTCTGTGCAGGGAGGGAGGTTGGCAACCCCAGGCTGAGGTTAGCTCCTCTCCATGACACTGAGTTATGAGCTAATAGCACTTTATTAAAATAGTATTTTGTATTGGAGAGCAAATCTAAGAGCAGATGGATTAGCAAGCAATCCATCACTCCCCATCTTCCCCCTGCCAGCTGAAACGCCTTCTCTGGGCTTCCACAGTGCAGCTGGGAGACAGATTTATAACAGGCTCAGCCAGCACCCTCAGTGGCCATCCACTGACATATTTCCTTCTGAATGGCACACCCTGGAAGGGAAGTTCTGCTGGGCAAGGCCAGGGCTGCAGGTGCCACACACTCCCCGAGCTGTAAGAGTTTTTGTGAGGACCCTCCTCACAAAAAATTCCTCTACCAACCTGGGGTTTTGTTTTGAATGGAGAAGAAACACTTGGATTCTTTTATAATCCATTATCTGTGGCTGTTTCCATTTTATTGCAACATTATTCTTCTTTATATATATATGTTGGGGTTTTTTTAAGTGCCAGATCTGATTGATTTGTCCAGCCTGTAATGCAGGTCCCTGGCCTGCCCTGGAAGCGTGAAGGACAGGTATAGATCTTGCTTCCAATTACCTGGGACAGGGTGCCCTTGCTGGCTGGTTTTCCTTCTCTTTCCCCTCATTCCCTGAGGAATCACAGGAATCTTACTGGCACCTTCAACACCAGATCTTACTGTTCCCTTCTGATGCGTGGTGTCTCCTGGAAGGAAGCTCTAGCAGCACTACCAGGATGTTGTTTTTGGGAGATGGCAAAGGGAAGCAGCGTGGGGGTAGCTTGGAGAAGCCCCAGACAGTCCTCCAGCTTTTGTCCTATCTCTGATTGTTCTCACCTCAACAGAAGTCAGATCATCTACCTCTGTCACTGGCCATTTTTTACCCCCAGCCATCACCTGAGGTGCCAGCCCCTGCAGGTATCAGTTAGTCCATGCCAACACCTCCCTGCCCTGCTGCCTGGGGGTTCTTTCCTCTCTCTCCTCTGCCATGGGCCCTGGGGTTTGTTCTTGGGGGGTCTCTTT